TTTTTTTTTTGTTTGTTTGTTTTGTTTTTGCTAATTCTGGATGGATGGATATCTCATTTAAGAAGGAGAGCCATTCACTGGGTTTTTGTTTTTGTTTTTGTTTTTTGGTTTTTGGTTTTTTTTTTTTTTTTTTTTTTTTCGAGACAGGGTTTCTCTGTGTAGCTTTGGAGTCTGTCCTGGCACTCGCTCTGGAGACCAGGCTGGCCTCGAACTCACAGAGATCCGCCTGCCTCTGCCTCCCAAGTGCTGGGATTAAAGGCGTGGGCCACCAACGCCTGGCTTGCCATTCACTGTTTTATGGAAAATTAATTTCTGAGAATTTGTGATAAGTAAAGAACTATTGCAGTCTTTGCCAAAGCTTGTACAGGCAGCTAGCTACCTGATGATACCTTCACAGTGCAGAGGTGTGAGGAGTCACTTAACCCCTCCAGAGCCCCCAGAGTGCCCCACCGTGGCAACATGACTCAGCGCTGCCCTTTAAGAAGATAATTTAGTTGATATGTATGAGATGGATTTGATATCTATGTGGACTGCACTGGGGAAGGAAGCGAGAAAGTCTATTTATTTTTTAATCCTATCATTGATAAAGGAAATACTGGTGATGTCTGGAAGAGAGGCAGGACCCTGCCCCAAGCAACGCTAGTGTGATTCTGTCTCTCGAGCATACCCAAGCTGGCTCAGGGCCTGGGGAAATGGAGTCCTTTCTCTCCCACAGCACGCCCAAGATGGAGTCCCGGGTTGTGGTGCATCTCTCCAGTCCCACGCATCAGACCAACACAAGGCTTGCATCTCTGAGGCCATGGGCCACATTCCCAGCTCTCTGCATGCAAAGCCTCTTGAGACTGAAGAACCTTTTCTCTGATTGAACTTGAAACAGAACCGTCATGTTCTCATGCCTGAATGTACCCGGTGTGCCTCTCATTTCCCCCATCTTCCGCCTCTGGCCCACCCCTCTGTACCAGAGAGAGAGGGTGGCAGGGGGAGGGATTTGTTCTCTAGTATAATCCCAAGAGCAGAGGCGTGTCTCTCATAGCTTAACATCTCTGTCTCTGGCGTTTGCCTGAAGAATGTCACAGCAGCAGCAGCAAAGGTTGCTGAGCTACCACTCCCACCCCAAAAGAGGAAGCAGGGTTTCCGGGGTACCTTGAGGTGGTCCTACTCTCTGCTCACCATATTCTGTCTTGCCTCCCTGGTTTATCCTCTGAGCAGAGAGCCCAGGCTTGAATGCCTGTAGGGCCATGAATTGATTCCCTGTTTTGCTACTCTGTGGCCATCTGCAAAACACTCCAAGCTCGGGTGCTCAGCTCTGGAGTAGCTTTGTAGCCCCACAGCTCCAGGGTTTGAGGAATCTGTGGTGCTGCTGAAACCCACTGGACTGGGGCATAAATAAAGATGAGATCTTGGGGAAGAAGAGAAGGGAGTGGGGCTCAGCATCAGGCCTGACTTGTGCTGGCGGCTC